TATTGAGGGGGTTGTGGCCAAAATAAGTTGAATGAAGTGGTAGGCTTGACTCATTCTCTGGAAAGCTCATGTAGTGAAGGGTGGTTTTGAGCCTTTTTTCGGGAGGAGGAAGCGGTTTTGGCGGTTTGTAGGGCCTTGTAGAGTGTGTACCTGAGAGGGTAACTTGGTAACACTTTGAAAACAATTTTTAAAAAGTTTAAGTCCTCGAGCTTCCTCCTCCCCTATATTAGCCTACCGATGTGACTTTGAGGATGGATAAACGGTTTGGCATAGATGTTTTATTTTAGCATTCAAGGCCCGCGATGACCTCACCATGGAGCAAAGCATGATGGTTAACAGGCGTGCACAGTTTTGCATGAACCTCTTTGTAGGTCAGCTCCGGAAGGCGGAGATGGAAATGACTTCGTTAAAATTTATGCAAATCAAGCTGGCAAGAATATGGATAAGAATATGGATACAAATATATAAAAGCTGCATGTTAGTTCTACATTATGCATGTTTTCTCTAAATGTTTATCAAATATATATGCAATTTTGACTTTCGATAACAAGGCGATTGAAGTAAAGCCTAATTTAGCCGTAGTAACAAAACGTTAGACCCACATTCACGCTGAGCGCAACAATTTGAGCTTACTTCAATGTTTCCATCTCTGCTTAGCAGTTTGTCCGCTTATTTTCTAGGAAGTAAAATAATTCAGTATTCATGTAATATGTCATGTAAAGAAGTGCTAGCTGCCATAGACTCAAACGTTGAATCTTGTCAATGCCAGTGACAGAATTTATATTTCATAATCTTACAATCACGTCCAAATGTTACATTGGCAACGCCAAAGGAACAATGGCCATACAAGTTCACATTGATGTCCTGTAAGAATATTGAAAGTAACAATTGTACTATACACGAGTTTACATCATAAGACAACTTCGTTTTCAAAGTCGGTTCCTGGCTACAACAGGGGCAAGGTGTGGCGCTGCACGATTTGTTAATTTGGCCCATTGGGATAAGTAACGGCCATTGGGCCTTACGTTGAACTTTTGAAAAAAGTAATTGACGTAGACACAAGGTATTGGTGTACACGGTTCAGCTAATCCTCACAGTATGAGCTATATAAGCTATTTTGCCTCAAATTATTTATTTTTCTTCGGACATCTCGCTATGTACAACAGGAGGCTGACCTCGCATATGTCACCGCGCACAGGCATGTATTTGTACTCAAATGTTTTCGCGTTGTGGAGTTGGCCGATTCGATTCACGCACTAATTAGTTCTGTATACTACTCAGGTTCAATTGACACGCTGCGTTATTTCTTCTATTGAATCCTGCATTTCAAATGCTGCAACCTATTTACGGGTCTATGGAAACCATCGACAACGTAGCAGTATGATTACAGAAACCTATAATGGAAAACTCACAAGGGTCATTACTGCGCCGTTTCAACTACGGGTTAAAGTTTCACGGTGACACCGTGTTCTCATCTAGGCATCTATATAAAGAAACCATACTGCAATTACTATCCACACACTATGTTCTCAACTTTTACAGTCAGTTTTGCAACGATCTATGCTGTCCAAACGGTAGCAGCACTCTCTCTTCTTGCCACACAAACTGCGACCTTGTCTTTGCATATATTTGAACGTCATGGCTCAGTCAAGCTCCCTATTTATCTTTTATTGGCAGGAAATGTCTTTGGTACAGCGGCAATCTTTATAATGGTGGCTAGGGACCATGGTCTTCTTTCGTCTCCATATGCAAAGTCAGCGAGTTCAGTTTTCACCTATCTTTATGTTGCGTCCTATGCTCAGTGGGTAATCGGCCTTTTGCGCATGTCCTATAAATCTCGATTCGAAACCGAAAAGAGGTTAATAACCAATATAAGTTCCAGCTCCATAATCTTATCAGTGACTATCTTAATAGCAGCAATAGGCTCCTATTTTGCTCAACAGTACATGGCTATGGACTTGCAATTCTCTATGGAAAAAATACTCTTTTCAGGTCTCACTATCATCAATTTCTGCCCTCTCACAATCATGATGGTAGCAAAATACTCATATCGAAACCTGACGCCCAAAAAAAAGGAAATTATACAGCCATTCTCTAAGCGATTAAGGGGTTTTGGATATTTTATTGCCGTGCTTGTAGCAAACGAAGTACATGGTGTGATTCTCCTATCATATCCACCGAACAACTGGAAAGATATGTTTGGTATTCTCGGAGTTGCTTTCGTAATTGGAACCGTTTTTTATCAAGTGGTTGCCTGTAATATTCCTTTCCTACAAGAACCTACCTATGAGTACCTCACATCGGAAAAGCAGACTTTGGAGGGTGGTGGTAATAATTGATAAATGGAACCAAAGGCTAAGCGCTCAAGTTTACATAGCATAGCAGACATAGGAATATAGAATGCAGCACGATGCTCAATAGAAGTAGTATATGACCTGCATCTGCTCATAAACTGTAATTTTAGTTAGTAAACATATAAGCTCTCATGTTTGTGGCAATTTGATTCTGTAAGCAATGCCATACGTTAATATAATATTACAATCTCTCTTGGCATGGTCCAATCTTGCCATTAACATCAATAAATGCTTCCATTATTTAATTAGATAAGATAAAACTACATCACACATATTTTGTATGAGTGGAATAAACGATATTTCATTCTCCGACATCTGCGACCGAGCTGTAGAGAAACAGTGCGCACCTTACAATTCATTACTTGACTGTTTCCATTTACTTTTCCTCTAATCATGAGTGGAGGACAGGGTTACATTGGATCAAAGATCTCTGTAAGTGACTTTCGCATTATTTACAAATACTATTGATATGATTCGCTCAACTAACCCACATTGCTAGCTGATCAGCCGCAGCGATATTCGTTACGTTGGTGTCTTACACAACATCAACTCTGAAGATTCTACCGTCGCTTTAGAACATGGTAAGCACCTGGATCTTTCAGCAATATTAATATCACGCCTACTGCTTTTGATCTCGAAAAGTCCAACTCACGACATTGGCAAACATGCACACGAGGAATCATTCTCCAAACAAATCGTGGCAGGCCTACGACACGACGACTTCCACACCTTTACCAATACCCAAACCTACACCTACCATGTCGATGCTCATTATATTATATCATACATCTAACCCACTTCTACTATCTCCCTTTACCTTTTAGTGCAATCTTTTGGTACAGAGGGACGTCGAGGCAACCCTAGCGAAGAAATCCCCCCATCCGATAATGTGTTTGAGTACATTGTATTTAGAGGTTCAGACATCAAGGACTTGCAAGTATTTGAACCCCCTGCGCCAAAGCAAACTGCTCCCCCACCACAGCAATATCCCAATGACCCAGCCATTATGGTAAGAATGAATTGACGATCGTGCACTTTTTGGAGAATGGCAATTGACACCTTTGGCTTGCAGAACTCAACCATGGATAACTATGCGCCCAAACAGACATCCACCGCTGCTCCTGCACCTTACACACAAGCTCCTTACTACAACCAGAATGCACCTGCCAATAGCATGGCTCCTTCAAATGTCGATAGCCGTGTCCCTGCTTCAAAGCAGCAAGAATCTCAAGTGGTAGGATCCGCCGCACCGGAAGCCACCCCGGCCAATGCTCCTCGGGCTGAGGTTACATCTACTGATGTTGAACAGTTGGCCAAGAGTGTCAGTGGCATGAATGTCACCGGTAACGAAAAGCCCATTGCAGCTGCTCCAAGCGGGTCAGCTAAGCTACCTGGTACCGGTGAGCATTTGATCAAGAGCAACAATCGTGGCAACCGAAACTCCAGAGTCAACGTTCGTTACAGTGCTCATGGTAATGCCAATCCTACGGCTAACAACAACAGCAGCGCCAATCGCGTTCAGATCCCTAACTCTGATTTCGATTTTGAAACGTCTAATGCCAAGTTCAATAAGGATAGCATCCTCAAAGAAGTGACTCATCCTCACGAAGAAGAGCAAGTCATCGACCACTCTGATGTCCAAGATGAGGAAGAGGTTATTATTCCCCCTGCTGACGATTATTATAACAAGACCAGAAGCTTCTTTGACAATATTTCATGCGAGGCAAAGGAGAGATCAGAGCAAGGTAACAACAAGTACGGCGACAACCGACGCAGCAAATTCCACGAAGAGAGAAAATTGAACGTCGAGACCTTTGGTCAAGCTTCCGTCGACCAAGGCAGACATCGTGGGTACAGAGGTCGCGGTGGTCATCATCGCGGAGGTCGTGGACGTGGCTATCGCGGTGGACGCGGTGGTTACAACAACAGCAACAACAACAATAATAGCAATAACAACAACAGACAGCAATCCACTACTGCTTAAAGCGTCGATGTTCGGATGTGTTTTCCCTCTTACTTACGGTACACCGAGGACACTTTGTTGGAAAGAAAAAACGAGAAAAGATATGAGGAAATGAATTCAGGAACGTAAACCGCCAACTTTTTTTGAAACCCTTTTCCTATCTCCACTCTGTTCAACACATGCTCTCATTTATTATTTTCTTTCTTTTACCGTAGTTCTCTTCCTTATGTAAAATAATTCTTTCCGTCTTTTTACATCTTGGGTTTTTTCTTTCATTAAAGCCTCTCATTCGTTTGACTTATCATCACTCAATGTAAATGTTATTCTCAAAAGCACGCGGCAAGATTAGCTGTCGATTGTGGCAGCGTCATGGTTCCCAAGTTGGTTGATGTATTTGATCACCAAATTGCATAGGTGTTGTAGTAGGAAAGAAAAGGGGGGGGGGAAGCAAAGAACACGTAAAGCAAAAAAGTGTAGGTATATCTAGAGTTAAAGCCGCAAAAGCTCCCACATTGCAAAACATCGAGGAAAGACAAAGATTGTAAGTACATAATTCAACGGTGAAAGCATGATATAAACGCAAAGAAGATGGATAATAGAAAATAATACATGGATCAAGCGTTGGATTGGAGAGGGAGGGAACAGACCAAGAGAGCTGGTGTAGGGTTGGTTTGGATAATATTTTTGAGATTTAAAAAAGCAACAAGATATGGGGGGATAGAAGAAAACAATGTGAGGAGTGGATTTTTGTATAAGAGGCACAGGGTTATTTGTGAATTTTTTCGCTTTTGTATAGGGACCCCAGAGAGGTATGTTTACCAATCTTCGTTGGCCATCTTGATCTCTTGCATCAAGGCATTGTCAGGATTGAGACTGGAAAACAAGTTGTAGTCAAAGGTGCCAGTGGCCATAAGTCGGGCTGCCATGCGATCGATAGCGATGACAGCGAGAACGGTCTGAATGTAGGCATCGATCAGGTCATCAATACCGAGTCCAAGTTGATTAAAGTCTTTACGGTCCATAAGAATCAATCTTCCTGTATCAGTGGTCCAGCCGCCGTCAGGGAGCTTGACACTCAAGTTGGTTCCAAGCATATCCCATGTATTTGCTATAGCATAGGGAAAATTCATCATCACGTTAGTCACCCTGATACAAGTCCATGGATCATCATCATTGCCTCACTTACCATCTGGGGCCAGTTTCGTGGTCAAAGGAAGTCGAGCCTTACGACCATAGATACAAATTGGGCGGAATCCGTCGGCATTACCTAAGATAGGAGTCCATCAGTACCTAACCTCAGTATGCCATGGTAGGGTCTATTATGTTCGTTACCTGTCACCATCATACGCAAGTCGCTAACAAAGGTATTGGATTTTTTGTTGGGAATGGTACCAACATGGTAGAACTTTCCACTTCTGGTGACACTGGACCAAGAGGCGTTGCCAACAAGTGACTGTACGATGAACTACATGTTACGCAAACAAAAAGTGGATTAATACTAATGACCCGCAAGTTTTTTCATGGTTCAGCGCTGAGCATGTCTTACCTTGTCATAATGATGATCTTGTTCCAAAAAGTCCTTTAGTTCATTAGGGTTCGTGATGGTATAGACACCTTGACCTAAACCAACCCACAAATAAAACATTTTAGTTCCTGGGGTCTCTTTGTATAGCAAAGATTTGCACAAGGGATAATCCCCCCAAAAAAATAACTTTTTTTTTTACCTGCGTTACTGTATGGTACCTTCAGAACGGCATGACCGCCCATACTGTGTATCCACAAGGGAATTTCACCTCGTGTGACATTATTGATAGTTTCGGGGACGCGAACGGACAGGCCAGTGTCGACCAGCTCTGCGTTGTAAAAGTCATAAGCTCTTGCAGCCATCATTTTGTTGCGTCCACCAGCCAGACAGGAGATAATTTGGTTCATAACAATGGTCTTTGTGTTCAATGGGAATCGGTTCCAAGGCTTTTGAGTGACATAACGGAAGCAAGCACGAATGGGATGCCATTCTAAAATAAAATAGGATTTTTCAAGTTGTGCGCATGGTCAGTTCTATAATCGTATCGTCGACTGAATGTCACCCCCCCTCTCACCTTTGTTGGCGTCTCGCACTTGAAGCACTCGGTCAACCCACTTGACAGGAACGTCTTCTTCACCATCGTGCCATTCGGCAAGCCAGACCTTTTCCTTGGCAACTTCAGCAAGGACCGCAGCATATCCACTAGCTTCCATCATATTCTTGTCGCAGATAACGGCAAGGTCGCCGAGAGACTTGTCGGCCTTGCTAAGTTGCTCCCGGAATGCAGATTCCAACACAGTTCGGTAACCACCGAGTTCATTGTGTTCATCAATTTCAGACAACAAAGGCATAGACTTTTGTCCAGAGGGGCACGAGTTGGTCTCAATAACAATCATTTGGCGCTGGCCAGACGAAGTAGTCACATTGAACAAATCGGAACCTAACAGGGCAAGACAAGGAGAATATTAGTGACCTGTATTGCAGGAGGTAAAAAACAGGGTCTGGCTGGGCAATGTGAATGAAAAGGGCTGGTGGTTTTTCATCAAATCCCTTCCCTCCCCTTTGTTATGTGAGTTGGACACGGAAAAAAAAATAAAACTGTGGCGTTTTTTGGATGCTTTTCGACCGTCCTTGGCATATTAGGCTATCCCGTTGTTGATCAAGAGATACCATGAGCATATCGACGATATGAGAGGAAAAGAGGGGAGGGGGTGAACGTGGGCTGTCGTTTTTTTTCTTTGCTTATCGCATGTTTCTGATTTCGTTTATGCCGGTACCGCTCAGCTTCGCATTCAATGGGTGGGAAAACCACCCATACCGCCCCCACCACACCAGTTGGACAAAAGTTACTTACCTGCCCATTGAAAGTATTTTGGAGTATACGAGAGAATTTCCTTCAGCTTTTCAGGGTTCACTTGGGGATTCAAGTGAGTATATCGCGCAATGATACGTTCATTGCCCAGCGTGAAAAAGCTCTGAACCAATGGATGAATTTGAGCGTTCAATACGCGAGGGTAGAAGTGTTGTTCAGATTCAAATTCGCCTTGCGACACAGTTTTAGCATCTTCTGCTCCTTTTCGGTTGCTCTTCTTGGCCTCATCGGTATCAGGGCTCTTGGGAGGAGAGGGCTGCGTAGAGGTTACCACCTTGTGAATATCCGATAATGAAAGACCAGACAAAGCGGTAGTCGGAGTTGTTTGAGTCAAGGCATCCTTCAGCTTGCCAGCGCCATTGGAAAGCTCTTCTGGAGCAAAATCAGTTTGGATAGAGTGAGTCATTAGAGGAGGGGAGATAAGAGAGAGAAGAGGAGGGATGTTAGGACAATTTGGAAATGCATTTTATAGGCAAGAAAGTGTGAAACAGGCCCTCTTGAGAGAAAAAAAAACGCCTGCCACATTGTTCTCCTCCATGCGCGGATTGGTTAAGTCCTCTTTTTGGTCCAAGTGTCACCTCCGCCTCCCTTCCCATAAAAATATTCAGAACACGGCCAAGCTCCTACTGACGATCATTTGCGTGAGAGTTCTTCGTAACCATGCTTGTAAACCCCCCAGAATTTCCCTACCACCATTTCCAGACAGAAAAAGAATAAAAAAGAATGCTGTCATAGAAGAAAATGCTATTGGCCTTTGTACAAAACGGTAGAGAGGGGGGAAAATCACAATTTTAAGCTCTATTGTTAGAGTACCTCATCCAGGTGTAACCCTATCTTAGCAAATGGAATGGCGCACGTTTTTTTTCTCTATTGTGCTGTTGAACGCTGCTTGGCAACTCTCAGCACACTAAAGATCACTCCAGCACCCAATAAAAATAGAATGTAGGGTGAGACAGCATGTTCCTTTTGCTTGACATGAAATACATGGCTCGGTTTCGCCTGCAGCTTGTCAGGTCGTGATGAATCTATTGTCGTCTGATCATATGGATTAGCACATTTGCCGTCATAGTTGAGGTCAAGACTAAGCGGTTCCTCTGGTTACCTTTTCAAGTAAATATGATTCAGAACTGGCGTTTTCTGCAGCCGTCAAATTATACCTTGTTGGCGTCAGTTCCACTCTTTGAACGCTCCCGAAAAAGTCAGTCACGCGGACCTGGGTTGATTGACATATTACACATTCATTCAGTTCCCTTTGCAAGTAATATTTCCGACTTGTCTCTTTGAAATCGTCATACCTGGTCAAGTGGTCTACGGAATAAGTCGCTGCGTATGCCTGGTGTGGATTTGATTTTTTCAGCATCATATGAATCGAACTGAAAGAGGATGAGGGATATAATTTGGGTTAGCGAAATAATTGCAAATCCCACAAGTCTTCTCTATCGGTATCGGCGAGCGAGATTTCCAAATTAGGAGCAGGGCAAAAAGCCGGGCTAGACCAAACCGCCATAGAACCACCCGTTAAATTATTCGGCTGAACAGAAATACATACCAAATCCTTGAGTGTCTTGGTACTTGACATATCAATATTCTCTAAAAATTCCAAGTTATAATACGTATAACTATCGATAACAGCCACTCCAATGTCCCAATCAGGATGGTGCTGAAGAACAGTGTCGTTATTAGCTTTTTATCCCACGATGTAAAAAAAAAAGGTACGAAATAGGTACTCACAGAATAAGAGCTCTCTCCCAACTCGCTACTTCCCGTGGCCAAAATATTAGGAGACATGATCTTGCTATACATCGTATTGGCTTGGCAAGTGTCTATCATGAAGAGCATCTCATTGTACCTAGTCAGAAATATGATACAATGAGTGCACTGCAGGTTCGTCAACAACTTAATTTCTATTTACAAACCTTCGCTTCTCCCACATTTGCCTAAATGCATCGGCTAAATCAAAAGCACTTATTTCTTCAGCATCTTGGAACTTCAAAAATTCATTTCCGCCGTGTCCAGTCATGTAAACTAGAATATTTGAACGATCATCCGACAAAAGTCGCTTGGAACGTGGGGTATCTGCCGACACTCGTCCTAGGGGAAAAGGAGTGTGAATAGCTGGGCCATCATGTTCACATCCAAGATAAGTATATCACTGTACTGACCTGTGAGCATTCGGATGAAGTTCTCGACCGTCACTTCATAGCCACGATAATCGACCTCGACGTTTTCACCATAGAGATCAAGTAGACGAGCCGCATTGTTGAACACAGTCGCTGGGAACTTGTTTCGAGGGTTGCATGCAACATCATCGCCAAGCATAAGAATGATATTGCTATCTGGTATACCAAGTCGCTTGACTGTTCGATACATGGACAATGTGTTTGCGATATGGCGGTAGTTGAACCAAAACCTTGATGTACATACCTAGAGGGAGTTAGACGAACGATTAGGCTTATTGACATGTTGAAAGCGTAGCGGATAGTGCACACGGAGTCATTACCAAGACAGCCCAGTTATTTGTGTGTCCGCTGCCATTTGAAAAGAATTCCTGAACTACTTCAGCATCTTTTGGACCATCTGCATTGGCTGCTGGCGTAAGAAATGCTAAGAATGCAAGACTAAAAAGAAAAAGAAATAAACGTCGTAGTAAGGATGGAAGTCGCATGTCTATTGGTCCAGCCCTTGAGAATGGAATGTCGACTTTCTTTGTAATTGCGTGGTGCCTCCTGGAAAAGAATGTTGAAATCTCAGAAATTAGAAATAGCAATCACGTGACTGTTTCAATGCTACAAAAAGGCGATGAGAGTGGGTCACCATTAACAACCGCAAACAGCAAATACACGCAGACTTATCTAAATATTCACATTAACCGGCTTCTGATACCTAATATCAAAAGATAATAAGATTGATGGACATCGTAGCTAAGTAACTTCTGTACTTTCAGGAACATCACATGGAGAAGTGTTATGTAGCGGGTTATAATTTTTCTGACACTTTAGGCACAGAAATATATATTCGTAATGCGTTTAATACTCCATTCGTCTAGTCAATCCATCTACAATTACAACTTCGAATCCAGACAAAACTTGGTGTGAGTTCCAGAATAGCAAAGTCGGCCATTCTCGTTATATATCTTTGTATACAAGTTTGCGAGAGTTTTTCCTGATCGTAAAAGCTCGTTTTCTACTCGGAGCTTGGCTCCTTCAGGTGCACCAGCAATGTAAGAAACAGCCAACTCTGTGGAGATACCAGGGCTGCGCCATGCAGTCATATCTATAAATGACAAGACGATGAATGAATAAGGTTGGTGGTATTGAGGGAATCAGGCGTAATTGATAACGTACTTTCGCCGCTGACGAGAATTGCCATACTGCTACACAAATCGATCAAGGTAGCGACACAGCCTCCGTGAAGATTTCCAAGGCTGTGGTCAACAGCTGGTTAATAGATGTGTTTTCAGTAATTTGGTAGACGGGCCAAGCTTACCCATTTACATGATCCTCGCCTACCACAAATTCAAATACTAGAAAATTGGGGCGAGCTTCTGTGATAACCAAGTTTGCGGAAATGGTCGAGTCCCAGCTGTGTCCTGCGTGATGATTCCACATGTGGACATTCTCGGCAAGCCGAGGAAACTTGGCTTCAACTTCAGGCACGATTTTCATAGGGACGTGATAGAGGACAAGGTGGAGAAGCGGGGATGAGATGACCAATCTGAAATGAAAGATTTAAAAAATGCCCAGCTGTCTCACGTGTCGAGCTGGAGTCTAAGCTTAAATGTTCTTCACAAGCTTGTACCTCTTTGACATGTCAAAGGCTGGGTTTTATTCAATCGTATGATAATTCTGACGTTGCCTCTCGCACCTCTTCTAATACATCGTTGATGGACTCTAGTATTCCCGCCAATCTGGACACAATTGATGTTGAGTTGATCAGAATATATGTTATTTGACAATCCTTTGCTTCTTTGCATTTTTACTTACTTCGGTCGCGCCTCAGCTATAGCTTCAGTAAAGTCCTTATCGCCCGCCTCAGATTCAATCTCCCATATTTGAATGTTTACAGTCTGTGATGTTGACATCGAGTTATATACAGTAGCTATTTTGATGTAAAAAGCCAGCAAGAAAAGGGTCACATCATACCAGTTTAAGTTTTTCTCGCTCACCCTCTTGAACTCTTCGAATCAATTGTGCTAAATCTTCTCGGGAATAGGTGTCTCTAAGTTGGCGTTCAATGGTTTGGATTTGCTGGGACACTTCCTGAAACCCGTCAGTCACGATTCCGCAAATCGACTGGTACTGATCTATTGGCAGCCGCTTCGCCTTGTAATCTGTAAAGGCACTACAGTTGCGAGATTCACGTGCAATGAAAGTAAGTATGATGTAGGAATGGGATCGCCAAAAAGTGACGCATGTCGAAATGCTGCTTGATTGGTACTCACTCGTCAAATTCCTTGTACAGTGCTACTCTGGTTGATTGAGAGTTGGAAAATGACTTTAGCAGAATCAACAACTGTTCTTTCTCGGTGGCAACTGTCATTACTGGTGTATATTTAGGTAATAATGGTAGAGAGCGTGGATTATCAAGCGAAAAAAGAGTTGCTGTTAATGAGCCCAAAACAGAAGTGTGCCAAATTACAAATTTTGGGATTTTTGAATATGAGCACCCCCAAACCAGGAAATCAACAAAGCTTCCACATATTCAGGTCAAACTTTCGTTTACATTTCAAAAACGTTTATTTTCGATCTGAAGTGGTTATGTTTGATGGATTTTTAACATTACAGGTGACGCATATTAGTCCTTTTTTATTCTTGCTTAGCGCCGCTAAAGACACTAGAAGCTTCGGAAGAGGCGTTACGGAGTCTGGTATCGATGTCAGGCTGAGCCTTGAGCAAGACAGGGCGGAGGAAACGACCATACAAGAACTCGGCACCCTATAACACATTAAGTAACCCATCATACAATACTTAAGCCATCCTTATTAACATTGACTTACCCGGAATTGAGGAAGTGCGAGCCAAAGGAAGAACAGAACCTTGAAGGTGTACCAGAAGGGGAACCAGTAGAGCAAAACATCAGCGAAGTACTCAAGAGTTTGGACGAAACCAAAAACGGTCCAGTATGTGAGCCATTGTGTGTCGTCCGCCTTTCCAGGTGACTCGATAGCTTTGAAAGAAGCATATGCTATAGAATAACAATAAGAGTAAACGTCAGTTGAAACACGACGACGGGGTTTCAATATCCAAGGGTTTTGGTTCAAATTGGTGCATAGACCGAGTCAATGACGCATGATGCCAAGTGTCCGATGAAACCAGATAGAAAGACAGCAGCAAACTCATATCGATGAAGAAAGCGTTATCTTCCCAACCTAGGTTTACCGGTAAGCGCCATAAACCCACCGTTTGTTTGATACACGCGTTGGTCGAAGCGATACGCCGCGCCACACTCTCACACAGACCCACACTTGGCGGACGGGGGGTACTCCTTATTCAAAATCACACCAACCTCCTACTCGATAAGACAAAACTCACCAGGATACAACCAACCGATGGTGTTTGTAATCAAACCACCTGCCAAGTTGAAGAACACCATGATAAAGAGAATGGCAGCACCACCAAGTGCGATATGAGTCTTCTTAACCTTAGTCTTGGCTTCGATGTCATTGAAATACTTGTACTTGGAGAGCTCGACGTCCAAATCCTTGAGCTGTTGCTTAGCCTTGACTTGAAGGGTTTCAAGATTGATTGCCATATTGCTAATGAGAGATTTCCGAAATGAAGAGATAAGAACAAAGCAGACGAAAAGAAGGCAGGATGCTAATTTTTTGGAACGGCGTCAAATTTTTATATTTTTATAAAAAGAGTTATTTACAGCTGGCAAGTCAAAGTTTTTATGTACAGTTTCTTTTTTAAATATGAGACGAGGGGTAAAGATGAAATAGTAATCCTTTCTCCTGATTATAGTTCATCGTCCCAATTATCTCGTTCATCAACAGGAGTGCAAAATGAAGATTCGTCGTGAAGGTGCTCATGCGTTCGTTTGCCAAGTGCTACAGCTGCCATAGTCTCCAAGCGCTGAATATGCTGATATAGAACTCCGACTTCGGCATTTCGCTGTACCATGTGAATTTCTTTCATCTTGGGATGGTCCAGCACCTGTTCGACAGTGAATCGTTCGTCATGGTTAGGATGAAGCATCTTGGAGATGAGAAGCTGGAGTTCACTGGAAACGTTGGAAAGTTCATGGCAATTGGAGAAATCGCCTGCTCTTAGCATTTGCCATCCTTGGCCGTTTTCTGGAAGAATGATGTTGGCAGCCATTTCGAGTAATATGAGCCCTAAGCTAGAAGATGGTATAAATTCATTTTAGTTCATTCATCACGTTCTTCCGTTTGGGGACTGTTCCAGTAACCCTACCTAAAGATATCAGCCGGCTTATCAAAATGATCTTGCAAAAGTTCTGGCGCCATATATCGACGATCGCCTTCTTCACTGTAGCCTTTGCTCTGCTGTAGTACAAACATGAGTAAAAAAAATTCGTGTGCAATGGTCCAATGCTGACAGTCAAGCCAATAGGTGCTTACCACTGGCCACCCCGTTGATAAGCCAAAGTCTCCTATTTTCAACGAACCAAGGTCATCTAGCAAGATGTTGGCAGGCTTGATATCCAGATGGATGAGATTTGCTTGATGTATGTCTTGTAACCCCTGATGAAGAGATTGATGTTCGAGTTATAATGTGGTTTTATCTTTGGAACGGTCAAATAGACTAGTCTTCCAAGCTGCTTACCATAGCAATGTCATATCCGATTCGCCATATCCTATCTTCTGAAAGATCGTCTGGTTCCTCAAAGCCAAGGTAGCCCTCCAAACTATTGAAAAGTGCGCGAAATGGGCAAAAAAGTTAGTTCAGTACATCTTTAAATGAAGGTTGAGCCGTTTACTGCATAGTAAAATTTCTTAGAAATAAAACTGTACCTGCCACCATTGCATAGCTCCATCTGTATGAAGAGAAACCCTTCTTGTTCCCAAGCGTTGACGAGCTCGACACAATGTTGACTGTCTTTTAGTTTCCACATGTGGTTGACTTCTTCAATATGTCTTCGACTATCAAAGCGCGTTATTAGCTACACGTGTTTTTGAACGTGCATTCAATCGTGGAAACCTACCGATCGCTGTTGCCAAGGAATGGCTGCTTTGTCTTCTTTATAGCATACTTTTCTTCAGTTCGCATGTCCCGGACATTCCAAACCTCAGCGAATTCGCCCGTTCCAATCTTGCTAAGAATATGGAAATTTGACTCAAAATAAGGTGATGCATTCATGCGGCCGTCTTTTGGCGTATCTGGCAAAATCCAATTTGCTGGGCGAAGTGATGTCAGAATGTGTGCATAGAATACTTATTAATGCGTGATCTCCAATCCTACCTTCATTCCTTTGGCAATCGTCAAAGTACTCGCGGGTCAGAAAGTGCGGCCAGGCGGTGGCAAAGCTACTTGAAACTAAACTAACATCGTATGGCTTGTCATCTTGCGGTAAATTGCTCGAGAAGAACGCATCGACCTCGTCCACATCGTCCCCTCCTTCAACGTCATTTGTAAATGATGATAATCCTCCATTGCTTGTCCATATGCTGTCGCGTAGAACTTGTGGTGGTGGGCTAGAGCGTAAATTTGAAAGGCTTGATACAGGATGCTCCTCTTCGCCGTCTAGTTCTGATAGCGGATGGCGATCTTTGGGCCATTCCACGCCAAAGACACCATTTTCTTCGTCGTCCGTATCATCGTCTTCAACTTGCTCATCGTAATCACCTATATCCTGATCCTCGTAACCTGGATCGAGTTCTGAGCTTGGTTGGGAGATACCGCTGCTACTTAGTAGTTCGTTAAGTAAGGAGCGTCGCGTCGACTGCACCGGACGGTCATCGGAACTATCCCGTAGGGCAAGTGCGAATGGTTGAGTGAACACCATATCCTCTTCCTCCTCCTCTTCGTCTTGTCCTAGCTGCTCCAATTTAAGTATATTCGACTCTTCATTCTCTAGCTCCTCGTCGTCCGAAGTGACGATAAGATTTGCATCCAGTCTGCTTGTGTGTCGAATAGGTGTATGGTAGGCGTTGGATAAGTGGGCAAACGATTCCAGAGTGGAAGGTTTTTTCCAGGGTGTATCAGGAAGCATAATTCTTCGAATGTCAGGGTGACGTTTCACCTTTCTACGTGTGGGAATGGTTGACGGTTCAAATGCACGTTGTAAAGGTAACACTCGTTTGACATCTTCTGCGCGATCAGGTGAATGATTACCGGAAGGAGAAGAATTTGGAACCATGAATAGTTTGGATGAAGTTCGGCGAGTATTGTAAACTTGATTAGCGTGTTTTTCTCGCAAGGGTGTATGAGACGTGCTGTCTAGGCTCGGGCGCTTGTTAAGACGATGGGTGGGCGAAGTCAGGTCGTCATCCGCTGGACGTTTTTGTTGAGTAGGTGTGTGTTGCTTAGTTGGGGTATATGGTAAAGGGTCATGGCGGCTACGTGGACTAGAAGACGCCAACGCAAAGGTCATTTGCGCCAACTGTTGTAATGTATGAGAAAGAAAGTGAAGAGGGTAGAGGAGTTATAAAGTGTTGAGTTTACTCTACGCCAAATATAAATTTTGCACGCGCTTTCGTTTTTCGCGCGTCGGCATAAAGCTCAGTTAAAAATCCATAAAGCAGTCGCATAGACACAAGCTGTTCTATTGGCGATGTAAAGATTGCCATGGCCTTGTTATGTTTTTATTCAGTTTTTTTGTTCTTTTTTATTTTGTTATGATTTACTTTTTGCCGGGAGTGGCGGGTGGTAGAAAACATTTTGAGAAGGGTATTTTTTTTTCACTCTCTCTTGCTTCATAAAAAATTGGTGCGTTCTACGTCCAGTTCCACACTTCTTTAATCCATGAGCTCAGGTCTATTTCCACGTTTTCCCACATCCGTATGAATGGATGTTGAAGCATCCTCTGCGGACCAGGTCGACTGCGCGGATCCTTAGTAAGACTACAGAAGAGGAAGTATCTAATTTAGTAATCCCGAAGCAAGTTTCAAGGCGGATTTGGTTGGTTGCCTGGTAACCACATCGACCGTGCATAATCTCTTTAACGCAACTTACCACACTGAAACAAAGTTTTTGCATTCTTTCGAGATATGCTCGCTTGTAAGGGTAGGTACGGGTTGGTGCACAATAAAATCAAGTAATTCAAAAATAGACAGATGAGGCTGTCCAGGCGGTGGGAGTGCTGGTCGATTTTGCGATACTTCTATGATGGTCAAGCCTAGTGACCAGATATCAGATTGCACAGAATAAGGAGCACCTTGTATACGTTCGGGCTAAAAGAAAGCAATATGTGAGTTGAACGGGGATGAATGAAAGTGAGTACATATAGAGACTATACTCACTGCCATATAATACTTTGTGCCAGTAAAAGTCTGCGCCAATGAGTTTATCAATTCTCCAGACACACCGAGATCACAGAGTTTGACTTCACCCTTTTTAGTGACTAGAATGTTGGATGGCTTGATATCTGTCAAGATAGAACGAAGGTGTATAAGTTACTAACAATGACATGCAGAGCCAATAACCGGTCTTTTCTCCTCACCTCGATGGATGACATGCTTTGAGTGCAAGTAAACCAGTCCTTTGCACACAGATTCAGCAACACGCTCTAGAACGGGCTCTCCAATCACACCTCCAAGATCGCGGGCACGCTTATAGATATCCTCTAAGCTGCCAGCCTCACAGTATTCCATACATATCGCTATTGTCGTATCACCATCATCTAAGAAAACGCCGAAAAATGATACAATATGAGGAGAGTTGCATGTCTTCAAAAACGCCAATTCTCGCAATATTTGTCTCTGAATAGCTGGATCAGGGTCCGCGGTAATCGACTAGAGTAAACAATAAATTGTTAATAAAAAAAAAAAAATCCACGGGTTATGAGCCGGGAAGAGGCGGCAGTGCATTATACTACCAGCTATCTGGTGAGATAACAAAATAGCCTGTCCAATGAGTACATACCTTCTTGGCCATTATGAGGCCGCTCGGTTTATGCAATACCTTTCGTACGGTTCCAGCAGCACCTTCGCCCAACTTGTCGAGATTCTCGAAATCTTCGGGTTTCAGTTCCATGAAGTGCTCGTCCCCGTCGGGTTCCGATATTGAAACTGCAGGTGTGGCTGTTGGAGTCAACGATGATGCGCTTGAAGAGCTTGAAGGAAGTGGTGGAGCGCTATCAATGAGCAGTTCCGGTGGAGGTGGTGCTCTCGTTGCATAGTCTTTCGTTTTAGGTGCTTGGAGGGAAAGCGAGGATAGTTGGCCTGCCAGAATCGCCGCCGCTGTCGACTGCTCTTCTTCCTCAACATGACCAGATGTTGCTGGAACAAGTCCGGATTTGTTTCCACTAAAGAGATTACCAATCTTGTCTTTGAAAGAACTATTAGATGGCGTCAATTGTCGGCTGTTAGCTGGTGAATGAGACGACGCAGAGCTGGCCGAGACGGAAGGGGACGGGGTATTCAAATGTAATGGTGATAGTTTTAATCCTGTCTTGTTACGTGGTCCTTTGCCGAGTTTTGTGGCATTGGATCTACCGAGACCGATCCCAGTAGGACCTGAAGGATCGGCAGACATCTTGACAAAGCACAAGCTGTATAGATTTTTGGTGTAAAGCTAGGCGCCAGTCCAAAGTTTTGGAACCATCCTGAACGCTTATTGGTCGGATTGCAAAATACCCACTATCCACCACTATCCACTATCCAACATACAAATCTCCACTCTTAACAAGCACCATATCTTAATAAACACAGCCTAATGTAAAGAGTCATTCTATGCAAGAGAAGGATCAGATTTGCTGCATTAGTATCTAATGTTGATTGTTCGAGATTTGTCCAACAGACGCAATCACTTCACCAAGTGATTCAATTTAACATGCACGCAACATTTTCTTTGTCACCACACACACGGTCGCTTGAACACTCGCTTTACATTCGATAAAGGTTTTAAACCTAACTTAAAGAAAAGTTTCCAGAAATACGAAGCCTCACCGCCGTCGGCACTGCAACGAAACTGTCTTACGATGACACCTAAAGTAGCAGGAGGTGCAATAGCAGTACAGACAAGCTTCACATGCCAGTGGCCCATTATTCGACAAGTTAACAAAAATCTTGTCTAGTTGAAAATTGTGCTTTGTTCGATTTTCACTTTTTTTTAAAATTTCTCGACTGGATTGTGTATCAACATCATTCGCAGAAACGATGAACATGGATTTCGTTTGCTTGATCTATTCGTCTGCAGAAACGTCGTTAGGATTCCCCAGCATCTTTTATACCTTTAGTTAGTATTCACTTATAAGGAATCCAATAATGTAAATATTGTTAAGTCATATTGAAGATGTTTTGAGCATGTATAAAAACTACATGAAAGTAATATGCGAAAGCAACGCAAAGGTCGGTCATTGCAGTACATACAACATTTTTTTTTCCACCAAAAAAAAAAATCGGCGCAATTATAGTGATAACGATCGATGTTCTATCATTGCTCTTTTGAATCTTTTAGATAATATGTGTCAAATCTGGACAATGCTGCAGAAAAGTTGATCCTCAATATGATCTGTGAGCCAAATGCCAAGGGCCAAGTTGTCGGTGATTGAAATATTGCCCAGGTTGATATCCACCTAAGCAAGTGCTTAAGAACTTGGCACATAGAAGAAAGATATAAAACAAAACTTGACTCATCCTTCAAATGTCATTCATCGAGTCAAACTATCATCTCAATCTAAAATGCCTTTTTTCAAGAAATTCTCGAAGTCTTCAAGCTCATCTTCAAGTTCTACTTATAGTGGTTTTAGCAGCTCTACCAAGGCCGTAAGCACGAAATCTGCAAAAAAGACTGTGCCTAATCCATACTTCCCCAATTATCCAATGCAACATTGCCCAGTCAGTCGCATGTAAATTACGGGACCCAAGAACCGACCATCAATCTATTTAGGCTATTCAATACCTGTACAAAATTAATCAATGATCAATTACATCTTTTACAAGATACTGCGTGTTTCTGCTAATAACTTTTGCAGTCTTTTCTTATCCTTTTACAGAAAGTACTCGTAGATGAATTTATGAAAATAAAAAATAACGGTTGTTTCTGCTTTCTTGTAAACCAAATGTATGCGTTAAATTCGAACCATTGGCATTTTTCTTTGGTTACCTAAAGGTTTCGCCACAGGACAGTATTTCTTAAGAACCAAAGCATCATGCCGCATGGAAAAATTTGGTACAAATTCAACTACCATTACATGCTACTTTTATATGGCATTGTATGGAGATTTATTACCTTATCTTAGTTTTTTATTTAAATTAAGCATCAACATTTTGTCTCAATCAACAAAGTATATCGCTGACCCCAATGGGAACCTCTGCAATGCGAGGTGCTCATAAACAGGCTCTTGTAGAAGAGGAATATCATACGAATGTAAATAATAAAACATAGCTGATTACGAAGACCAAGGTCAAAAGTACCAGCCCTATCTTCCCAATTGTCGTGTGAATACCATAAGAGTACTACATCATGCATACCACATACTATGAACATGGAGATAAACAACCCAAGATAACACAACTACCAGTGAGCGGGTTCGTGGTCTCTTCTTTCAGCGTCAAGTCACGACATGAATATTTCGCTACCATGATCGTCGTCATTGGACAATACAGATGACACCTGCTTCCCATTGAATAAAATTGCCATAGAGTATGCCACAACTCGGTCAATACATCGGCTGTATTGAATGAAACATAACTCATAACGTATAAAAGAGTTGTTAGAAATATAAGAAATAAAGTATCAAGTTTATCATTCACTACGGGTAATAATCGTTCTAACTAACGACTAAGAGACCTGACACATGTACTTCGTTGAAAAATGTACTGTTATCTTTTAGGTCCTGGGCGATAAGTTTGGCTAAACGTCTTGCAGCATCGTCAACGTTGGAGTGAGAGATCAAATTGTTCTGCATAGCGCGAGTGTGCGTCTGTCCAATCAAAATATTATATTTTTCGATATGGTAAGCTAGGTTTCACATCAGTCGCCTGGGACTTGAGGCATCAGCACTAGCGCACGTTCACCAAAAATTGGAAAGCAAAATGTTCATAAACGTAGAGCTAGGATGGAACTTTTAGCTTTAGCTTCAACAAGCTCTTTTCATGCAGTAAAAACAATCCAATATTTTCTATGCACATCTCCGAAAGTCTATTCTTCACGGCATAAATTGAGACATTTTCATCACCAAGAGCAATTCATTTAAATTAGACCGTAGTTCTGATTTTGAAGATACAGAGTTGTTAGTAGGCTGAAAATCTGTCAAATTTAGAGGAGAATCATCAGATTCAACTAAATTCGATTGTTACAAAAAATAAATAAATTCGATACTGGCAAGTTAGGGTTTACATCAGTTACCTTGTAGTTGAGGCGTCAGCACCGGTCCAAATTCACTTGAAATTATATAAAAAGCGTGCATATACGTAGAGCTAGGATGCAACTTTTAGCTATAGCTTCAGCAAGCTCTGTTCATGCATTAAAAATAATACAATATTTTCTATTTACATCTCCGAAAGCTTATTCTACACAGCACAAATCTGAGACATTTTCATCACCAAGAGCAATTCATTTAAATTAGACCGTAGTTCTGATTTTGAAGATACAGAGTTGTTAGTAGGCTGAAAATCTGTCAAATTCAGAGGAGAATCATTAAATCCGACTAAATTCGATTGTTACAAAAAAAAAATAATTTTTCGATACTGGCAAGTTAGGGTTTACATCAGTCACCTTGTAGTTGAGGCGTCAGCACCGGTTCATATTCACTAGATAGAAAAACGTGCATAAAGTGGGGCTAGGATGCAACACTCCCATCCACTTCCTCGTGGTCAGAAATATATGATTAAAAAATTTCAAAATTTACTCCTAATTCCAAGCCTAAACAAATTCAAATGCCTTCTTTTTTTCCTTTCTTTTTTGCGAAAGTTAACAAATTAAAGGTATATTGCTGATGAACTTTATTTCAATTCATTTATCATACATGCCGGACTACTTTAGTGGTAAGGTAGGCAACCATATTTCTGTAAGTTCTTGAGGTGTCATTGTCAGTACACTTCTTATTGGTTGGCACATCAGTCAATCGCTCATTTCTCGTGCCTAAATCACATCCACAATGTGTTTGTTACAAATTCAATTTTGTTACATATTCGTTGTATTTAGTCGAAGTTCAAATATTGTCATTGTCACCATCTTCATTTAGTTTAAAAAAGAGTTGGGGTTTGGAAAACAAACCAAACCAAAAGGTTTATTTGGAAAGAATTTACAAGTTGTTAAAGTTTTTGAATGAAAGTAAGAATGAA